CATAGTCAGTTTCATTCCGGCCATAACAATAGATAAAACCCTAGAAACTAAGGCGCCTTCAGCAATTACGCCTCAAAAGGAATGGAAACAAAAGCTACGAAACCCTATGTATATAAGCACCACGCATACACTTACACCAAAAAATATACCCCATTTGTACACCACAAATTTGCACAAACATTTCGATGGTTTACACCGACACAAGTGTTGGTGCGTTAATAAAAATTCACACGGACACAAATGTTGGTGCGTTTAATAAAAATTAGTTTTACACCAACACAAAATGTTGGTGCAAAACTGCGGGGTACAAATTGGGGTACAAACCTTGGGGTACACATAGCATAATCCATATATATAAACATATAAGAAGCTGTTCTTATTACTTACGGAGTATTTATTATTAGCACACCATAGTTGTTGGACTAAATTCCATCGTTGATGCTTTCATTGAGAGATTACTCTGAGATTGATATTGTGAGAAGATGGCCGGACAAAGAACAAAGAACTCTAGGCGTAATGCCGAAAACTCCCCAGCAGTCCTCTGCTGCGACGAGAATCCCCGAGCAACACAACACCGCTCAGTCCAACGGGATTGAAGCGGCCCTGCATAACATTGCCAACATAATGGTAAATGTGATGGACATGCTGGAACGGGCCCTTCCCGGGCCCTCAGGGGTTCCCAGGAATCCAACAGAGCAACCAGGGTACTCCAAAAATTATACTCTACTTTGTATTTTAAAGGCATGCACTTGAAATATAATGTTAGTCCAATTAGCATAAAGGTGAAGTTCTGGAGTATAAAGAAAGAAGTGTTGGTGGAAGAGATAAATGATGGGTGGCATTCATGGGATTTATTCATGGGAGTCCAAATGTACACCACTTGCCTCTACACCATTCATTTTGTTTTGTTTTTATTTTTTATTTTTATTTTTTGAATTTTACTTGCCTTTTTTTGTGGTAATAGAGGAGGTGAAGAATATTTGTGGTATACTTTTAATGTAACCCTAGCATTTTCCTTTATTGATAGCGAAGTGTTTTCAATTATATCATATTCAATGAAACTGTACGCACTCGGACAGCAAGCAATGAGTGGTCACTCTATTTTTTCGTTTGCTGTTTTGTGGCTAGGCTCTCTACTTCTGCTCTTCTCTACCTCACTTTGGTCCCAGCCAAACTTTCGTGCGTTTTGATTTTTTTTGTTGTAGAAATATTTTACGTGAAACTGAGTTTTCCATTAATCACCGGAAGTTTATATACATGACCGAGAATACAAGTCACGGGCCCAAGCTATACACGGCCCAATACACACAATAAATAAACATACATAAATATACTAGGCTAACACTCCCCCTCAAGTTGGAGCATGAAGATCATAAATGCCCAACTTGGACAACAAACTATGAAGAAGAGGACCAGAAAGGGCCTTCGTGAAGATGTCCGTCGCTTGAAAACGCGTAGGAACATAAGCGGTCACAATATGATTGCGCTGAAGACATTCTCGGACAATGTGACAATCAATATCGATACGCTTCGAACGCTCATGAAACACTGGATTAGAGGCAATGAACAACGTAGACTTGTTATCGTAATATAAACGTGGAGTCGCTATACACGGAACATCCAAAGCGGCTAAAAGGCCACGCAACCAACGGATTTCGGCACATGCATTGGCCATAGCGCGATACTCAGCCTCCGCGGAAGATCAGGAAACGGTAGTCTGCTTCTTAATGCGCCATGAGACCGGAGAACCACCCAATAGAATAAAATAACCAGTGACAGAGCGGAGAGTAAGGGGACAACTAGCCCAATCAGAATCAGAAAAGGCAGTAAGGACGAGATTGCTGTCACTACGCAACAAAATACCCTGACCAGGGTGGCCCTTGAGATAACGAAGGACACGAAGAGCCGCATTCCAATGATCAAGACGGGGCGCCTGCATAAACTGAGAAAGAGTGTGAACGGCATAACAAATATCCGGACGAGTAATGGTCAGGTACAACAAGCGACCCACAAGACGACGATACTTAAGAGGATCACGAATCTCAGCACTGGTAGAACGGGCCAAATTATGATTAACCGGTAATGGAGTGTCCACAGGCTTGCAACCAAGCAAGTTGGCCTCATCAATAATATCAAGAGCATACTTACGCTGAGTGATGACCATACCATCTGGAGAGCGAGCACACTCAATCCCCAGAAAATAAAAAACTGGACCAAGATCCTTGAGATGAAAACAATCATCCAAATACTTCTTGAAGGACGTACATAGAGACCTGTTGTTACCTGCCACCAGAATATCATCAACATACACAAGTACAACCAACATATCAGGGCCACGCTGGAGAACAAAAAGAGTGTGATCAACGTGTGCTTGACGAAAACCATATCGTCGTAGAGCAATGCGGAGCTTAGTGAACCAATTACGGGGGGACTGACGAAGCCCGTATAATGACTTCCGAAGATGACAAACTTTCCCTGGAAAAAGATGAGTATAGCCAGGGGGTAGTTTCATATAAATCTCATCCTGTAAATCACCATGTAGGAAGGCATTATTAACATCCAACTGATCAACCTGCCAACCACGAGCCACTGCAACAAACAACAAAACACGAACAGTAGCAAGTTTGGCAACAGGAGCAAAAGTGTCAGTATAATCAACACCAAGTTCCTGATGATTGCCTAAAACAACAAGGCGAGCCTTATCACGCTCCTTAGTACCATCAGACTGAAATTTGGTCCTGTAGACCCACTGACAACCAAGAGCACGACGATTAGGAGGAAGATCAACAACATCCCAGGTATGATTATGCTTCAGGGCCGAATACTCAGTGGCCATTGCCTCTCGCCATGAGGCAAACTGAACCACTTCACGGAAATTGCGGGGAACAGATGTGGCATCAATGGCTCCAAGATATCCTTTATACCTGTCATGCAACTTAGAATAATGAACATAGTTAGTGATAGGGAACCGAGTACCAGAAGGAGAAGAACAGGAAGTGACCGGAGCCGGAGTGACAATCTTTGCGGAATTAAGAACATAGTCGTTGAGATGGGATGGACGACGACGGGTACGAGGCGGAAGGGGGGAATTATCGGCGGTGGAGAAGTGGTCTCCACCGAGGAGGGAGTGGGGCTGTCGTCGTCGGAGGAGGAGATGGGGGGGCTGGTCGTGTCAGACAGAGAGGTGGACGGGGAGGGTGACGGAGACGGAGACAGTGGCTGGGCGGGCTGCTGGGTTGTCACCGGGACAGTGGGGGTGATGTGTGACGGTACCGGCGGCTGGGGAGCTGGTACGACAGTAGTGACGGGGGTGGGAGGGATGGCAAAATCGACTGATGAGGGCGTGAGGATGGGTTGAGAACTAGTCGAGGGAGTAGGAACGGCAAACGGGAAAGTTGTTTCATCAAATGAGATGTCCCTCGTATGAAAAAACGTATGTGTTTCAAGATTATAAACACGCCACCCTTTGGTACCATAGGGATAGCCCACGAACACACACTTGATACTTCGTGGGGAAAATTTATTTCTGGGTTTAGGAATGGGATGGACATAACAAAGACAACCAAAAACCCGAAGATGACTCAAATCTTGAGGTTTAGAGGAAAGGACTTCAAGAGGAGATTTTCCCCCGAGAATTTTAGTGGGAGTGCGATTAATCAAGTAGACTGCTGTTTTGACACACTCCCCCCAAAATTCTAGTGGAAGAGACGCATGAAACATAAGAGATCGGGCCACATTTAGTATATGACGATGTTTGCGTTTATCGTATCCCACATCGGAAGTTGAATAGAAAAGTTATCGGTAAATAAGGTCTTGAGTTGAACTAAGTAATCGATTGGATTCAATCTTTTAATGTGGTTCAACCCAAGTGTCTTATTACCCAATCCAGTTATCCATACCCCATCCTAAATTCTATCATGGTATCAGAACAGGTTTTGGCCCACCTCGTTTGTCAAGGTGTCCGTCTAGACGTTCATTCCTAGCGGCCCGTTTGTCTTTAGCCCAGTTGCCCGTATGGAGTGTGTACCCAACGGCCTGTGGCCTGTTTAACACGATTGCTCGTCTGGAAGTCCATACCCAGCGGCTCGTGGTCTTTAGGTGTTGGCGCTTAAAAAAAAGTCAAGGGATTGGGAGTTCATTTACAAGTGGTCAACCGGTTAGATTCAAAATGGCCCGGTTGTCTACTTGAGAGGGAGTGTTAGAGTTTATCATATCCCACATCGGAAGTTGAATAGAAAAGTTATCGGTATATAAAGTCTTGAGTTGAACTAAGTAATCGATTGGATTCAATCTTTTAATGTGGTTCAACCCAAGTGTCTTATTACCCAATTCAGTTATCCATACCCCATCCTAAATTCTATCATTTGTAATTCTCTTTAATCATAAATTGTGATATTTTTAAATACAAATTAAGAAATAAATAAACCTGGAATATTTGATTTAATGTAAACTCAACACAGTCTGATTCATCTTGTGATACAATTTCTCCATATACAAAGTATCCGATTTTTATACTCCGTAATACGGAGTATTTATTAATTTAAGTTATGTTTAATATGAAATAAAAAAAATGTCATTTGACAAAAAAAATCAAAATAAGGAAGTTTTTCGGATAGAGGAAATGAAATATTCCCCATTCTTAAAAACTATCTTCCGAGTTACTATTCATACAGTCAAACTAAAATAATTTTTTTTACCTATTTTCGTTAGTTATTTGGTAAAATAATACGGAGTATAGTATTTTCACCTATTGTTTTGTAGAATTTTTGATGTAGTTTTTAAATATATAAATTTTATTTTTAATTTTATACGTAAAATCAAATAAATTGAATTAAAAATAGAGTCGGTCAAATCTTTTAAACACAAATCCTAATAGTTTTAAGACGGAAGGAGTATAAAGCACCCTTTCTCTCATTACTGGTATAGTCTCTCTCAATCAATTCATTCACTAAATCAGCAGTACAAATTGGTATAGACAGAGAGAGATAGTGGAAGCTTTGTAGAGGGAAAAAAACAAAGAAATGTATGCTGAGGAAGGGCTACTTTTTCCCTACTTCCAGAGCTTCTCTCAAGAAGCTCAACAAATTGAAGGGTTCTATTGCTCTCAAAGACCCAATGCTTCAATGGTGACGTACTATTTATCCTTCTATTCTCTGATCAATATCTCTATAATGATTTGAACTTCAGTTTGGTTATATGATGTGAATTTTTGGCTCTTGATTTCATGAGGGTTCCAGCATCCAACTCATGTGAGCTTTAATTTTTTGGGCTAATTACTCCTTTTTCTAGGAAGGCTATATATAAACCAAGTCCCCAAATATTAAGCATTAAAGCTTTCATTGCCTTTTTTAAGGGAAGTTTTGGCTTATATTTCTCAGTTTGTTGTTTACTTATGGATGAAAATTTTGGGTTTTTCACCTTCTATTGCTTGACTTGGGAAAGAGTAAGAAAAGTTCATGGCTTTATTTCAAAACACCCACATAAACAGTCCCTAATCAAGTAGGATGTATATAAAGTATATTGACCGCAGTTGAGTTCCATTTCTGTGGTAAATCTGCATGTTTATAGCAGATAAGTGGCTATTTGTTTCTTCATTTTTTTTTCCTTTGGGTTTTCTGGTTTTCTGCCATGGATCCAGTATTTCACAGAAAAGAGATGTGAGATTGAAAGGTTGGGAAAAAGTAAAGGAGAAAATGAGGGGACCCTTTTGGGGAAAATTATATGGTATAGCCGGGTGTAAAAAGCTCTACGTACAGCCGGGTGTACGGTATACATAATACATTCTCCCTCCCCTTTTAGTATCATAGATAAGGAGGCTTATTAAGTGGGAATAACAGCCTGTTTGATGCTAACTGTCTTAATTAAATACAGAGTACTAAAAAGAATAAAAAAATAAAAGTTATATCATGCTGCAATTTGACTGTTAGGTGGACAAAGTTTCTGCTAATCTTAGCAACAAGTAGCTTAGATTGGCCAAATTGTCTTTTCCTACTCAATATAACTGTTCATTATCATGATGTGACTTTGGATGAAAAGGAATCAATTCAAGACCCCAAAACCAATTTTATAAAACCACTTGTTTGATCTTATCTTACTGCAGACTCGTCATCTGCCCACTTTACTTTTCTCAATGCTGGCCAGTTGCAAGAATATTTGGGTTGCCCAGTCTCTCTCCTTATCTTGGGATCAGCATAAGCTCCTTAATGCTTGCAGGATAAAATATGAAAACCATTTCCAATGTTGTTTTATGTTATCATGCTGTTTATTTCTCAACAAACTTTTCTTTTTCTTATTTTAAGAAATTCCTAACATGTGTGGCATCCTGTGTACTAGACATCATCGATATCAGAATATGATCTTGGAGGAGAAGGGGATCTCTTCAAGGCTCCAGAACCAATAATTGAAGAAGCGCTGTTGGATCTTGATCCAATGACGGCTGCCATCTCGTTGATTTCTTGTGCAGATGATGTCATCTCCCCACACAATATTGAGGTTTCAGATATCGAGAACGGGCAGATCCTCAGTGAGGTTTTCTACGAATGCAAGAAGGATCTCTGGGTGAAGGATGGAATTGAAGCACCACTCTCTCAAGTCCTTGAAGATGTCACAAAGACCGTTGAAAAGAGGGCATCAGAGGAACATTTGGATTCTCAGGGATCACTTCAGAAGACTGCCAGTGCAGAGTCACTGAACACCATGGTGGACTGGATACAAGGCGACACTTCCTCGCTGAGGCAAAGTATTTTCAATTTTCCATGGAAGGACTTTGATGCTGCGTATGGGATGAAAAGATCGCTCAGTGAAGGAGACATAAAGGTCTGGTTTAACTTTTCCTCTTGGTCATACGCTACTGTTTTGGCTCATCATCATTTTTGCTTCATTGGTTTGACATCTCAACTATGGTGAGCGAGCTGGTTTTGATTGGATGTCTTCCTACCAACATAGTCATAGAGGTGCCTTAGCAGAACATAGTGCAGGGTGCGTGCTTGTAGTATTAAAAATGATAAAAAAACATTTTTGTGCACCTTCTAATTCCTAAAGGAAGAAAGGCCTTAAGATGATTTCAAAGAGAGAAAAAAAGGCCTTGGATTAAAGTAAATTCTTAAAGCCCGTTAGACTCATTAGGATTTTAGCTAAAGACTAGGGGTGGGGCGACCAGACTCCAGAAAATGCTAGGGAAATAGAAAAATGTCAAGTAATTTTTTTGTTTGTCCTTAACTTGAAAATGGAGCCAAAGGCTCACTACTTTTTGGCTTTGGTATATGATGGAATAATGCAAAATGATTCTTTAAACTGCCTGCGCTTCTTTTAATAGTGAAGTAGCAATTAGTAAATGCAAGTTTCAACGTTCATTATGGGTCACTTGGAAACAATCGCTCTATGCTTTAAACGTTGGTGTCAGGCTACGTACATCCGACCCCCCCTAACCCCACATTGGACGGGAGCGTTTGAGGCATTGGGGTAATGTTGTTGTTGTTGTTGTTGTTGTTATTTGTCATTAACTTGAAGATGGAAAGGAAAATTTAAGTTACATATATTTAGAGTTTCATTCTATATAGTAGTTAACAATCCCCTTAGCATACATATATTGTTAAAGAATATCCCGCATCGGAAAAGTGTGAAGAAAATAAAGGGTATATAAGCTCTTGAGTTGAACTAAGTAATCAATTGGATTCGATCTTTTAATGTGGTTTGACCCAAATGTCTTATAGCCCAGTCCAAGTGATCCCTACCCCATTCTAAATTCTATCATGGTTTAGCCCACCTCGTTTGTCAAGGTGTCCGTCTACATGTTCATTCTTAGCGGCCCGTTAGTCTTTAGCCTAGTTATTCGTATGGAGTATGTACCCAGCGGCTCGTGGTCCTTTAGGTGTTGGCGTTCAAAAAAAAATTAAGGGGATGGGAGTCCATTTGCATATGGTCAACCGATTAGATTCAAAATGGTCCGGTCGTCCATTTTCTTCCACATTTTTTTCCCGTCTACATTTTCCATCCTATTTTTCTTTCCTAGTATTTTCTAGGATCCAAATGGACCCCAAATAGGGTTTAGAGGAAATCAATTTCCGCAGATGCATATAGTAACTGCTGAGTTGGGATGATGGAGAATCCTGTGAGTTGATGATCAGTGGGACAGCACAGATGCCCTATATTTAGTTAGCATCTAAAGCTACTGGTACTAACATTAGCAGTCTAATTAGAAATCAAACACACCAGATGGGCATGAAGTTCCTAATAAGTAACAATGGTTTTGATTGAAGATGACCATGAAATATACAGTATCGCCTTTAAAGAGGGGGCAAAAGCATGAAAGGTTTGTAATGCATTTCTCTTTTGGCATAACATCTGCATATCTCCATGGTTCTAACCACCAGCTGCCAGTAAAACTCCTTGGAGACCGAGCATTTCTTGGTTACGTGATGAAGTCTGCAAACCGAGAAATGTAAAGACGTTTACAACAGGATGGGGGCTGGGTCATTGATAAACATGGTTTTATTGACAGACTCTTGGTAATGGTAGTATAAATCTCGTCCACTCTCCAATCCGACTGCCAAAAACTACTATATGTAGTTCCATTTCTGAAGAACGAATGGAGAAGCTATCCAGATACAGGATCAAGAAGGCGAAGAGGAACTTCGGCAGGAAAATCAAGGTAAGCTTTTTTTGTTTATGCCGGTGCAGAAATCAGAAGGTATAACATTTCACAGGTCTTCTTTATTATTTTTTTTTGTTGGTGCAGTATGCTTGCAGGAAGGCATTGGCAGAAAATCAACCGAGGATCCGTGGGAGATTTGCAAAAACTGAAGAAGTGGATGCATCCAAGAAGCATTGACTGTTCAGCACTCCACGAAGAAGCTAGCTAGAACACAGAAGGATGCTGGTACTGGATAGTTATTCGCTGGTAGTAGTTGCTTGTTTTCTGTTTGATGATCTGTTATTAGTTGCAATAATGTTCCGGGTAGATTTGAAATCCGGTTACAGATGAGGTGTATAGTGTTTGCTGAATAAGAATTACAATCGCCTGTATGGTTTCTTCCAGAATTTTCAAGTGTTCCAATCTATTCCCCAGGCACGCAAGGCCATGAGACATTTGGTGTGCCAGTTCTGAGTATTTGCTTCTCATGATTTCCGACTGGAAATAACTTGGAGCACGAATTGAAATCTTATATCCGGCTTTGCAATTTTCATATTATATTGGGTATTTGATAAAGAATGAATAATTGTATCCATAAATTTGGGATTTCGCCATGTTAATCCCAAACTTAATAAATTCACACTTGTTCTAATTTCTAACCATTGCTCTATTTTCACATAAATACTCCACACGCCACTGATATGTTCCAATTGAATTTTAATCAATTGGTTTACAACTGAGAGAGAAGCTAGATAGAAATGTAGAGAGAAAGACAAGACAATTCTTCATTCATTCCATAATTCTTAATCAAAATTACATAATATATATAGAGTGTAATATAACCACATGCCACTCAACATGCATGGAGCATGGTTAATTAACTACCACACACTAATCTCCCCACTACTAGCACTACCGCTACTAATAATAATAATAATAATAATAATAATAATAATAATAATAATAATAATAATAATAATAATAATAATAATAATAATAATAATAATCATAATAATAATAATAATAATACTAATTATTATTATTATTATTATTATTATTATTATTACTACTACTACTACTATTATTATTATTATTATTATTATTGTTATTATTATTATTATTATTATTATTATAAGGTATGTATCCGCGAGAGAGCCACTTCAATCGCCTAGTCAGATGTACATATGGAATTAGAAGACCATTGGCAAAAAATGTGCATTCTTTCCCAACGTTATTTCACTTTCCCAACCAAATTTCGAATGGTATCAATAAAATATTCGATTTTTATTGAGAATATAATATGTTAGAGTAATCGCAACAAACATGATATCACAATAGGCCAAAGGTTGATTGGTTACAATCGAACACCATGTCAGAGCTATTAAGTTACAAAAGTATATCCAAACTACTAAAATATATAGGAAACAAAAAACATCTAAGGATTCAGACTAAGTAGCCCAAAATCCGTGATTGAGAATGGTGAGAAACGAAGAAGGGGAGGGCTATATTTATAGGTGAACTGGGAGGCTTGAAAATCAGATTAGACTACCCAAGTCAAAGTAAATAGTCGTTTACTTGGGGTGGTAAACGATAATTCACTAGGTTTGGTAACCCTAACTTTAATTTCGTTAATCTTATGCCACTTTTGAATATTTTACTTTTTTAGACCTTTTTGTCTTCTGTTTTGAGATTTATGAGTATTAGGAATAACAAGGATAATGGATATTCCATTGGTCGTTTTGGGGTAGTTCAAGTATGCATCTTGACTGACATTTAGTTCTTTGACCATCTTTAAGATCCAACCGCTTTAAGAGATGATTTTCTAGAACGTTTACCATATCCGATTCATCTTTTGTGAATGTTGTTCGAACTGAGAACAAATTACGCGGTCTTGTTTGTCAAATTTTTCTACATCCAAAGGTTTCTTTGCCATAATTTTTTTGATAGCTTTGTCCTTGCTGAATTTGTGCTAAAGACTGATTTGTAGGCCTTTTTCTCGTATTGTACCTTCGCCCTCCTTTATGCTCTATAATTCATTTTTCGCCAAATTTCTTCAATAATTAGCACAAATTCTACCAAAATCATAATAAATGCTTACCTACTATCTTTGGGAAACATTTTAGAAAATAATGTATTTTAATAAAAATAATTTTAATTTTATAAAAATAAAAATTTATTTGAATATACAAATATATTAAATAGGAGAAAATCCAAGACTTATATCGTACAGCCCGGCATAAATTAGTTGCAGCAACGAAGAGCCATAAGCGACGGAAGAGAGGAAAAGACAGAAATTAGCAGCACCAACGAAGAGAATAAGGCAATGGTGGCGTTACAGATCGTCAGAGGCGATGGTGGCGTTATAGATCGACGCAAGCAATGGTGGCAAAATCCCTAGGTTAGATGTATGGCGATGGCGTCGTTACAGATACGGGAGTTCATTGACCTGGGTCAACAAGATCTTCTTTTACTGCCATTGAGATGGCCTCGGCTGTAATATGTGAGAGGAGAAGACAGGATGACGATGAATAATGGAGAGGAGGTGCGACGAGAGAGACTCTCAAGATCTCATAGATGAAGACAAGATGTGAGAGGTGCGACAAGTACGGTGAAGGCGAGATAAAGACAATGAAGAACCAGAGATGACGAGAGAGATATGTTTGAGTGTGATAAGATGTGATTTGTGAATGGGTGGTGTGGGGTGAATTGATTATGATGGAGGGATGTGATTATGTGGTCTAAGTAATTGGTGTACATATAATTGGTGTCAAAATAGACCCTTTGTTTCTTTTATCAATAACATTATTTACTTGTACACCACATTCGTACACCATTTTCAGAGTCGGCCCCGAAAATGAAAAAATAAAATTGACCCAGTCTAAAATTTACATTTTGGGTCATATTTTATTTCTTAGAATACTTATGCTTTAAAATTAATGCTGAATTTAAATATATGGGACCCTAAAATTTTAGGGGTCCTGTACGGTTGACCACTTTGCACACCCTCTGAGCCACCCATGACCATTTTCTACACTAAAGTTTTGCATTGACACAAAATACCAGTGCAAAAGTAATACTCCGTAGTATATTAGTGTTGTACTTACATTTTGTGACAATACAAAGTTCTGGTGTACAAAATGATTTATAAATACGACGTACAAATAGCATAGTCCTTTGATATGGTACGTCTCAAAAAGCATTGTAGATCTATTAGACTATCCACAATGCTAATTGGGATTTAGGAACAATAAGATATTTTAATATTTGCCACAACATTAAAAATACAATCCCTCAATCCCTTCATCCCACAATGGAAAAAATATAAAAGACTTAGAATTGAAGAAAGAAACTAAGAAAACAATAAAGTATTACTCTCCACGGTATGAATCAATGCTAGGTTCACAATCAGCCATTTATTTTCACAAATGCAGTTCACCCATGTCATCCCTACTTCGAAAAACCCAATCCCTTTCTCCCAATTTCGATCTCCATTTTCCATTCTCTCCTCTTTTGTAATTTTTTTTAAATTTCATTTTGCAACTTCACAATCCTCATTAAGGATAATCATAGTGCACCTAAACATATATACAGAACTACGTGATGGTCCGATGGAAGAAGAAATTGACAAAAAAAAAGCACATTCTCCACCATCGTATCAATGGGAGTGTACCTCTAACCTCTTGTCACGAGAAAAAGAACAAAAGTATGAAAAAGAAGGGCAAAACAAAAACCTCTCACTCCATCTCCGGTCACCGGCCGAACATGAGGATTGGAAAAGCAGCACCACGTACGGATTCGAGTCTACTCAAAAACTACTCCTTATTTCGACACAATAACAATCCAGCGTCTTCAAAAACTGGGTCCCATTCAGCGCAAAAGAAAGAAAAAAAAACAAACGATGAATACACATACGTCCAACTTTCTTGGAGGCAACAAAAAAAAAACTTTAGCAAGGAAACTGAAAGGAAAAAATAAACCCCCATGAAAGATGTAGCAGAGCAAGAAGATGAAATGAAGACAAGAGTTTAAGGTGGTCGGTCGGCCATTTGTAGAATCTCGGACTTGGGCTCAAGACAGGTCCGGCGCAATTTAGCAACCGGAGCGCGGAGTGAGTTGCACACCGCCCTCGCCCACGCAATGCACAAACCTCCTCCCTCTTTAGAATATCAGGCTAGGGAATGCCATATAAATTTTATAGATACAATTCTATGTATGTATATATCCATACACAGTACCCGTTTAACTTTCCTCATCAAATTTCGCAGCAAAATGGACATTCTTTGACGCTCTCCCAGATTATCTTTATCTATTTGTTTATCATTCTCGATAAAATACGACGAGAAGCATAAAAAAAATTGGGTCTTGGTTATCTTTCTCGCTTCTTCTTCTTCTTCCCTTCTTCTCTCGCATCGATCGAGCAGTTTTTTTATACCGTGAACAGAGATCCCTGTTCGTATACCTCTGTGTTTCAACGATTGTTCAGATCTTCTTCGTCATATGCAGAACTCCTGTTTGTTTTCTGCGCAGAGCCAATTCGGGTTTCTTTTCATCTGAATTTTAGCTAAGAATTTGGGATGACTTCTTCCCGTGTGCTCCACCGTTCTGAATCTTCAATCTTGAATTAGGGTTTCGGCTCGAATTGCGGGTTTGAATCGTTGGAGATGATAATCAAGCGGAGCCTGAAATCGGTAATGCCGATTTTGAAGAGGTGCCGGGCTGAAGAGCCGGGCGGAGATGAAGACGACGGCCATAGGAATCGGAAGAAGAGGAAGGTGAACAGTAAGAATGGGTATTACCCGCTGCATCTGCTTGGGGAAGTCGCCGCTGGTGTAATTCCCTTTCGTGGGTATGGTCTACAGAGGATTCTTGCAGAGGGAGGCAAGGCCTGTGCTGAGGAGACCGTGGTGGCTTCATGGTGTACTGAGGTTTCATGTTGCCAGGACGAGGCTGACTTGAAATCTAAAGTGAAAGAGAGCATCAATAGAGTGCAGGAGGTTGCGAGGCCTCCACTTGTGAGGACTTCCAGAGGGCGGGTGCAAGCACTGCCCTCTCGCTTCAATGACTCTGTTCTTGACAATTGGAAGAAAGAGAAGAGTAAGGCTACAGTAAAAGACTTGACTTTGGACCCTGAGTTCAATCCACATAGAGAAAAAACCGGTTTGAAGAACAACTGTAAAATTCGTAGTGAAATTGGAATTAAGAAGGGCCATGAAGATAATCTGCACTACCAATGCAGTAAGCGTTTGCCATTTTTAGACTATGAAGCAGTTGAATTTGGTGTCAACAGGGCAAAAGGCTTTGATGTTCGGAAGTTTTCTAGTTCCCGGAGTTCGCTAACACGTGGGCATGATCGTTGCTGGGGAGCAGATAAGGCTCGGAATGATGACTTTGAGGAATATGCAGAACTAAGCTGTGTTGATGCATTGGCTATGTGTGAGGGAGAGAGGGCGTCTCATAGATTTTTGCCTGAGAACTTTAACTCTGGTGACATAGTTTGGGCAATATCTGGGAAACATTGTCCTGCTTGGCCTGCAATTGTCCTTGATCCAAAAACACAAGTCCCCCCACAAGTTTCAAACTTTCAAGTTGCGAGAACGGTTTGTGTAATGTTCTTTGGTTACTCTGGAAACGGGACTCAGAGGGTAAGACATGAACTTGATTCTAGCTTTTGATCTTACTGGTGTTTTCTACATGGTTAAGGGTGGTGTGCGTGGAACCGTGGATATAATGGATAAGTGACGTATTTATTTAGTGTCCTCCACATTCATGTGCAGGATTATGCTTGGATTCGGCGTGGAATGATATTTCCCTTTCTTGATTATGTGGACAGGTTTGAAACTCTTAATCATGTTCGGTGTGATGTTACTATGTTAGATGATCATTTGTATCTCACACACACATGAATGTGTTTAACTGTAATATGTGGACTATGTACATGTAGGTTTCAGGGACAGACCAGCTTGAATGATAGCACCCCTGATGACCTTCGGTCTGCCATTGAGGAAGCATTTCTAGCGGAAAGTGGCTTTAATGAGATGTTGATGGTTGAAATCAATGCGGCTGCTGGAAATCTTGATTATCTCCAGTCTATTACTAGAGGGGCTGTTGAGGTATCTGTTTCAAATCAAGATCTTGAGTGCAATACGCTTAACAAGGCAAGTTTTATGGTGTTTCCAAACTTTTCTGCTCTCAATTTAAAAATATTGGTATTGTTTCAATGTTAAAACTGCATTATGATGTTTCCTGGGGTTGAATTTGGCTATTCTTAAATGTTCGCTTCCCTTCTCAAAAGTGGAAATGGAAAGACTATTTATCTAGTGAATTGCATGTTTGATACTTATCTCAAATGCCGTACTCTCTTAATGCAGGATTTGTTGATGAAAAATGGAGATTCATGTGAGGCATGTGGTTCATATATGATTCCTAAAGTGCCCAGGAAAGTAAATGATTTGGCTCCTGGCAGCCACCGCTTATGCACTGCTTGTACACGGGTCTGTTGTGCTCTTTGCTAGTGTGCTTCTGCATTTGAGATAACTAAAGTTTCATGGAAGATATATATGTCATGTTTGTTCTATGTTAATTAATACATCTTCATTCCAGCTGAAGAAAAGTAAACATTTTTGTGGCATTTGCAAGAAGATTCGTAATCCCTCTGATAGTGGTACATGGGTGAGTTAGCTTCACCTTCCTACTTTTACTGATCATATGATTTCCAATTTTCTCTTCTTCATTTATCGTCTGGAGATCTTATAATTCCTTAATGGGTTAGGTACGCTGTGATGGTTGCAAAGTTTGGGTGCATGCTGAGTGTGACAAAATTTCAAGCAGTAATTTCAAGGTCACCAATCATCCCTCATTAGTCATTATATATATATATATATATATATATATAATATTCATTTTATATAGTGTACATATATATGAACCCCTTACAAGAATCTCATATTGCTGATTATTATGCTGTTTCAATTGTGTCTAGGAACTAGGAAACGCAGATTACTATTGTCCTGAATGCAAAGCGAGATTTAATTTTGAACTATCTGACTCGGACAATATGAATTCTAAATCCAAGTGAGTCACATTGGAACTGAATAGATTTCAAATAAACTTTAACTGTGTCTAATTAACATGGCTAATCGCTTACAGATATAACAAAAAGGACAGCCAAGTTGTGCTACCTGATAAGGTTTCTGTTGTCTGTGCTGGTGTAGATGGAATTTATTTTCCAAGACTTCATCTGTAAGTTATTGCAGTTAATTCTTCGCCCATTGTAACGGAAAGTTCATGGATTGGTGCAATATACTACATTGCTACAGAGTATATCTGTGGCTTATCAATGCCTCTTAACATCTTTCATACCTTGGTTCATAACTGGCCATTCAGTTTAAAGCTTGTTATATCATGGTGCATAAGCAGTTTTAAGTTGAAGTCAATTGTTGCAGAGTTGTCTGCAAATGTGGGTTTTGCGGAACAGAAACGCAGGCCCTTAGTGAATGGGCACGTCATACAGGTTCGAAAACAAAAGATTGGAAGACCAGTGTCAAGGTGAAAGATTCTTTGCTACCGCTGGAGCAATGGGTGTGTATCTTGAATCTCTTTATCAGCATTTGAACTGGTTATTTGATTATCTAGCTTATATGATATTGTATCTTCTTTTCTTTTTAGTTACTTTTTTCATTCGGCCATTCCTTCTACATAGTTTTGATGCTTAATGCCATGATAGTCAGGATTTAGGACTTCTCAACCTGACTGAGGATATGGCCTTAGATAGGAACCTTTGGAAAACTAGGATTAGAGTAGTTGGATAGGAGCTTGGTGTTGTAGAGGTTGTTTTGTAGTGTGTTGTATTTGTTTAGAATCTTTTGCTATTGCTTGTACTTGTTGCTTGTACTTGGTGTCTTATCTGTGCTATACTGTGTTCTCTTCCATATTTTTGTGCAGGTGGAGCCGGGGGTCTCTTGGAAACAGCCTCCCTACTTCCGAGTAGGGGCAAGGTGTGCACACCCTCCCCAGACCCTACTATTGTGGGATCCAACTGGGTTGTTGTTGTTGTTGTTGTTGTTGCCATGATAGTCATGCACACTTTTTTTTTGCCTCAACATGAGATTTTGGAACTAGCAAACTATGTTTTGTTATCCTGATTGGAATGGCTGTTCCGAAGTACTATATTAGCTTTTCAAAACAGAATTTCTATTTATAAATTACTTCCAGAGTGATTTATGATTAATTGTATTTGACTAAACAGAAGTTGACATCTATTTACCATTACAGATGCTACAGATAGCAGCATATCACGAACGGAGTGTTATTCCATCCAAACCTATTAAACGTCCACCGTTGAAAGTTCGAAGGCAGAAACTTCTCTCTTTTCTTCAAGGTAGATACTACCGGGGTTTGAAAATTTTATGGTTTGGAAACATTTTGTTTTTTCTTGCTTCCAGCATCCTTGATAATGTGACTAACTTGAGGACAATGAAATCTGATAGAAAACTATGAGCCCGTTTATGCGAAGTGGACAACAGAAAGATGTGCAGTATGTCGATGGGTTGAAGATTGGGACTATAACAAAATCATCATTTGCAATAGGTTTGATAAAAAGAATGTTCTTTTTTAAATGATACTCCCTTTCTTCCTATTCTATTTAGGTTGACCAAAGCACTGTTCAAGAAAATGAATTGGGATGATAGTTAGTCAAAACTCTTAGTACTTTGTCAGAAATGACCTCATTTAATGGCACTATCATTAGCATTTCTACATGAAAGGGGAGTAAATCAAATAGTGTAAGAAGGGTAAATTGGGTGGGGGGTGGGGGTGGGGGGTTATATGCTTCAATTTCATAAAGGAAAAGGTATGCAGGAACAAAGAGAAGTGGTCAACCTAGACAGAAATAGGAACAAAGGGAGCAATAATAATGTCTCCTCCTTAGTAACAACAATTAGGCCTTAAATCCCAAGAAACTTGGGGTTGGCTACATGACAATCTTGCATTTGTGATATTGTTCTAGTGAAATTCTTGGAAGTAATATCTGAACATCAAACAATTTTATTGACCAATCGTATTTTCATTTTTCAGGTGTCAAATAGCTGTGCATCAAGAATGCTATGGAGCACGAAATCACCGTGATTTCACATCATGGGTTTGTAGAGCATGTGAGACACCTGATATCGAGCGGGAGTGTTGCCTTTGTCCTGTGAAAGGTTTGTTTCCCTTTCTTCCCCGTGTCTTGAATTTAAAGAATCTCAGAAGGATATAGCTTCTAAAGATACTCTTGCTTGTATTCCTTTGTAAAAGGACATCTGGTGTACGGAAGAAACATGAGCAAACATTAAAAGAAAAAAGTTTCTATTTTTGTTTGTTTTTTGACAATATTGTACTCATATATATTGGTTCACGGCCTCACCCTACTAATTACTTGTGGGTACTAGTGGACTATTTATTCATTTTTATATTTCGCAGATATACATGGTTTTACTAGTGATCCTGTCTATGTTTATGCTAACCTTTTGCTGTTGCACGACAGGGGGTGCTTTAAAACCCACAGATGTGGCCCCATTGTGGGTTCATGTTACTTGTGCTTGGTTTCAACCTGAAGTGTGCTTTGCTAGTGATGAGAAAATGGAACCAGCTGTTGGAATCTTGAGAATTCCTTCAAATTCATTTGTTAAGGTACTAACGGGAAACCGCAATCTGGATTACTAGTTTCATATTTTTATTTGGAACATTATTCTCTGACAACTTATCAAATATTGCTCCACTTTATTTGCACCGGTGGATGGGTATGAATATTATAATTAGGTGGAAGAAAATTTGGAAGCAAGTGGATGAATTTCTTAGATAAAGCTTAAATTTGTGTTTGTAACTTTAATTAGTATTTAATCTTTTATTTTTAAAATTTCAATTGTTACATTTTACTTCTGGGATAAGGCTTTGTTGTTTTTGTTGTTGTTACATTTTCGTATTTTACTTCTTTTCCACATTTTGCGGTTTTGGTATAGATGTTTGCTTGGCTACATTAACAAATCTACAATCTATTAATACAGATATGTGTTGTGTGCAAGCAAATACATGGTTCCTGCACACAATGTTGCAAGTGTTCCACCTATTATCATGCTATTTGTGCATCAAGGGCAGGTTACCGCATGGAGGTGATGTTTTCTTTTTTATTGAATGGCTGCGGATAAGCTAGTCTGTCATAAGATTGTTCATTTTAGATCTTAAGTAGTGTATCTGATAATGTTCTCACAACCCCAAACATATATTCTTGGATAACCCAAATAATCTGAAGTTGTGCTTCTTGCACTGCTTCGTGATACTCCCTTCATCCCAAAATAAGGTTCCAGTGGTACAATTATTAATACAGGTGAAAGTGTGTGGTTGTGTTTTGTAGAGGGGAGAAATTGTTTGAACCCCACAATTCTATCCTCAAAAGGAAAGGGAAACTTTGTTGGGACAAACTATAAAGGAAATGTGGAATACTGGAATCTTTTTATGGGACTTAGAGTAATAGTTTACTCCCTCTGTCTTTGAAACTTTACACTTTCCTTTTAGGGATGTCTAAAAATTAACTTTACTCTCCTCCACTTTTCTCTTTAGGAAACGATTATGTGGACATCTTTAATTCTCTCTCTTCCATATCAATTTCAACCACACTTTTCAATTATTCCCATCTTTTCAACACTTTTCCTAATTTCATTGAAGTCAAACCATCAGATTCTTCCAAACATGGAAGGAGTATCATTTTTATCCAAGTTGTGCTTGTGATGGGATATAAAATGTATCCCGAAAAAGCCACTATATATTTTATAATTTTTTATACATACATGTAAACACTTGTACAATAAAGGTGCATTGCACGTAAGCTTTATGACATATTTGTGTCGAATGCTAACAAGTCCCATTGACACAAATGTCTTATTGACATTGTAGATATATGATAATGAAGCCAAAAAAAATTTGCCTGTCAAAATGGTAAAGTTTGAGGGGTAAATTTGTAAAGAATATGTGCAATGCCAACAATGCAAAACCAAGTGCTCGATGCAAATTATACTTGATTTTTTTTCATTTTTTGTTAAGAGCTTGTCATTTTAAAAGAGAAGGTCAAACTCAAAAGTTAATCTCCAGTTTAAGGGTATCTGTTCTCAACTAGTAACTCCATTATCTCAATCCCAGCATGCTGTGCAAGCTGCAGATGCATATGTGGAAATACTAATGCTGATTACATTCCATCTATTCTTCACTTTGTGTTAAATAGTACCATTGGGGTCTCACGTACTTGTGTTCTGTATATCTGTTTCTACCAGAGTTTTGATCTGTTCCATTTTGAAACCATACTAAATTAATCGTTGCTCACAATGTTCATCAACTTGCAGCTGCATTGCATGGAGAAAAATGGGAAACAAGTAACAAAAATGGTTTCATATTGTGCATACCACAGGTAGTGTTCCACTTACTCTAGCTTGATTATAATATGCATATAAGGGCATCAGCAATGAGTAATTGAGATTTTTTGAGCTCGTACTTGTAACTAGAGTTAATATGATGAATGCTGTATTTGGAGAGAGGGCTTCATGTTGTTCTTAAGAGTATGCATCCTATATTCTGTGCAGCAACAATACTTGCACGTATGCATCGCTAAGTTTTAATTTGTATCGTCTTCTTACAGGGCTCCAAATCCTGATACCGTTTTAATCATACATACTCCAAAAGGAGTCTTCTCTGCTAGAAGCCTCGCTCAGACCAAACACACAGGTTCACGATTAATTGCAACAACCAGATTGGAACTTGAGGAAATTCCAGCTGCTGAGGGTGATGAAATTGAACCATTTTCAGCAGCAAGATGTCGTGCCTTTAAACGCCTGAGGAATAAGGTATAAACGAGTGGACATGCGGTATAGAGGAAATCTTTAATTAAAGCAAACTTTTTGTGAATAGTTCTTAATGTTGCTGATCTCAATTCATGGCTTCATAATCTGTTTTATGATATGCCTTTGTAACATTTAAGGAAAATCTTGATATCAAGAAGGGAGTAGGAGAGAAGGAGAGGGTTGGTAGAAGGGAATTCTGTTGCCACATTAATATTTCAAATGCTGAACTGTTCAAGTAGATTAGATAGTATTTAGAGCTCTGGGTAGGACTCCTCATGCAGAGTAACTAACTAATTCAGGGCCACTAACTGCTAACTAAATCAGGGATTTAGGGATTTTATTATTATTATAAGAAGTGGAAAATGTGAGAGAAGGGTTCTGAGAAATCCTGTTACCATGATGAAAATATCCGCAAGGAGGATTTCTGCAGCGGTTCTGAGGGAGTTCTGCGACCTCAATATGCCAAGATAGAATTTTCAACTTTCGCTGGAAATTTGATCCGATCAGTTGGCAGCGATGAGAGAAGTTTTTCACATCACAGATGAAAAAAGACGATTAGACGAATATCAATTTGGTATTGTTTCATTATTCCCTTTGCTGGATAACACCCACCTTTGGTTCGATGATATGATGGAAGAAAGCACGTGGGATGAGACATTCTTTAATGAACTTTGTGTTAACTGTTTCGAGCCACCCCTGGAATAGGACCCGATGGGCAAATTGTTGCTCTTGATGCAGTTATTTAGGGCAGAAGAAGACCCACTGAATGGGTAGTGAAGATTGTGTCTCTCTAGCTTAGCTTATTATTCATAGGAATATTAATAGTATCTTATTAGTCGTCCTATTCAATTCTAGTTAATGGCATAAATAAGGAATCATGTTTTCTGGTATGATTATGATAGGTCTATTGTAAGGCTTTTGCCGATTTATACTCGCACAACCATTGATAAATTTATAAATTCAACACTCTTTTATGAGAAGCTAGTCATAGACTGCTCTCCCCTCCTTCCGGCCATGGGCAAGGATCAATATCTTCTTCTTTTACATTTGTTAATGCATCCGTAACAATTGGCTACCCTTTTACATCGCTGGATTGGTTGCAGTTATTTTTAGATTTATTGAGAAGCCATTTTGTGAGCTTAATCAGCTAATCTACAGCTGTAGAGGATTTTTATTTATCTTAAGCTATTTTGGGACATATATACTTTTATCCTCCTATTTGAGGCGAAGTGTTGAGATAGGTTTCGGGAATCCTTTACGGTTATACTTGTGAGCAAATAAAGAGTGTAATTGTCTAACATTCAACACTATCCATCCTACTAATGTGACTAGCAGTCCACCATGGACTTCTAATACTTTCTATGTAATACAGACTATGTCGTTAGAATGCTATTGATTAAAGTTGTTTTTATTTTTTCAGACAACAGGAGAAGAAGCCATTTTCCACCGAGTGATGGGTCCACGTCGTCATTCTTTTGCTAAAATACGCAGCTTGAATCCAATAAAAGTAGACCTCTTTCTTGTCCTATTTCCATTTCTTTCCGGTTTTAGCCTTAGAAGCATGATGTTTCTTACATTTCCTTCAACAGGAAGCAGAGGAGCCTAAAACATTCTCTACTTTTAGGGAGCGGCTTCGCCATTTACAGGCATGAATATCTAGCATTTAGGTCATCCTATTCAAAGTTTAATAGTCAATGCTGCATTACTCATTTTTTTAGCGAAATATATCCAACCTCTGGGCCATTTTGCTTTTGTGGATCTACAGAGAACAGAAAACGATCGAGTTTGCTTTGGCCGTTCTGGGATACACAGATGGGGTCTTTTTGCGCGCCGAAGCATCCCAGAAGGAGAGATGGTACACTCTTAAGCTATTTTTTGGTGTCCAACATTTGTCTACCTTATCATATTGTGTAGTATTTGTGGCTGTCAACTGTTACAGTTGCATTAGACTAGATATCACTGAGGGGATGTTATATAATAATGCTAGTGTCATCATGTAATTATTACATGTTGTAGGAAATTGATGGATGGTTACTCACACTAGAGGGTCTCATTTAATATTGGTTACTGGTCCTGAATGGTCAATTTTATGGCAATACGTTTTGCGGGATGTTGAGATATCCCCCTTTCTACATAAACTGTTGAATTCAGCCACCCAATTTTTTTTTTTTGATAATTTCAGGTTCTTGAGTATCGTGGTGAGCAGGTCAGGCGAAGTATTGCTGATCTGAGGGAGACAAAATATCGAATTGAGGGGAAAGACTGCTATGTGAGTAGATTAATGCATTTTTTTCTTTCTTATTTGTAGATTTTACATTAGTACAGAAGCGCACACGCACTCTCATACGTACGAGGGAGGAGGAAAAAATGAAACAAATATCTTGCCTAGTCATGTGTTGTCAAGAATTTTCTTTTTCTTTTTTTTTGCAGCTTTTTAAGATAAGTGAAGAGGTTGTGGTGGATGCCACTGATAAGGGGAACATTGCACGCTTGATAAACCATTCAGTAAGTTCTGATTGCGAAAGTGATCAATCATCATTATTGTTTTGCATATATTGTTCTTTAGCATTTCTATTTTCAGATTCAGATTCAACCAGAATAAGATACCCAAAAAAAGAAACGATCATGAGCACTTAAGGAATCACGTGTTCTTTATTATATTATCATCTTATTTAGAAATTAGTGAAGCAACAGTTTTGTGCTAATGTTTTGTTACAGTGCATGCCAAACTGCTATGCAAGGATTATGAGTGTTGGTGATGATGAAAGCCGGATTGTACTAATCGCAAAGACGAATGTGTCTGCTGGTGATGAGCTAACGTATTTCTCTCTTTTTCTCTCTCTCGCGTCATTTGCTTGTGTTGTTGTACACTGAAGGAGATTGTGCATGTTGTAGTGTAGTACTAATGTTGATAATGGGGTTCTTATTGTTATTGTTATTATTATTGTGAATTCATTGAATGCAGGTATGATTACTTGTTTGATCCTGATGAATGTGATGAGTTCAGAGTTCCTTGCCGCTGTAAAGCTCCAAATTGCAGAAAGTTCATGAATTAGCTTAACATGGTTTCGTTTCTTCTTTCTTTTTCTCCTCGAGAAGGAGCTCTAACCGTCTTCCTTGGCTCCCTCACGTCGTCATAGTAACATACCAGTACATCATTCTGTAATAATTAATCTCTTTATTTATTTATTTATTCTTTTTTGTCATTTTTAGGTAGGTGGAGGGGGGAGGCTTGGTTGTTAATATTGTTCTCTTTTTGCGTTCTTTTTTTCGGGGCTTATTCAATTATTATAGGCTAAAAGGTTGGGTCGAGGCGTTTTGTATAGATCGGTTGTTTATTGTGACTGAATGCTAATGTGATCAGTTTTCACTTACAGAGAGAATATAGTGGATAATTTAAATGGAGACGGATGGAGCATGTGATAATGCCCCACGTGATAATGACCTGCAAGATTCCAATACTTTTCCTACCCACCTTTTTTTGGGTACATTTCCTATCCACCTTTAATGCTGCATTTGGACAAGCTTTTTTACATTTCGAAAAAAATACCATAGAGAATGATTTTCTTATCATCCAAGTTCCAATCTATGCAATCAATACACATTATATTATGGTCGATTGGTTCATGGGAGAAGTACATAAATAATATTAAAAGATGATGAAAATATCAAAATAGATGTGCTCTCATATTGCACACTACCATCAGAGCGCCACCACAGCATTACCACCACATTCCACCATTACATTGTTATTATTTACCATGCATTAGGAATTAGAAATGTAATATAAACAAATACATAATTTTAGGAATGAAAATTGTGTCGAAGGTAATTCAAAATGCAAGAATGAATGTTGAGTATGAAATAAATGTGTTAATTTAACTAATTAGAAGTGCAAATTATGTTTAAGGACTGATGGATATCGGCTAGCCATTGGGCCGAGGAAGGCCCAAGAGTCCCATTGCGACCGCCCAATATGAGTAAAGCGCTTGGTGCCCATTGTTGGAGCGGATGGGGTCGAGTAATCCAGTAAAGTAATGGGCTAAGCCCAGCTCAACATCAGATGGCACGATATGGGGAGAGCAATCCCACTAATTGTGGGTAATTGACGACTCATTCCTCGTCCATAATTGACGCACGATTAGCGAGTTAGCCTCGTATTGCAGCACACAAATTACATACTATTCCTCAAAAATTTGAATTTATAAAATTTAAATTTTAACCTGTGTCACGCACGTGACTGAATAATTTTTCTTTTTGTTCTGTATTTTTTCATCGAGAAAATGCAACTCATAAGATATGTTTGGTTGAAAGAAAAATATATTTTAAGAAATTTTAATTTAATTTCCTATGTTTGGTTATATAAGTGGTACAAAATCTGTTTTGAGGATAAATTTTTTTTAACTCAAAAAGGAGAATGATTTTATTTGCTTTGGATGAATGTATATTTTCTTACTCACTCTTCGAGTCCTATGATTTCATGAACAAAGCAAAGAACCCCCCCCTCCCCCACTATACCCCGTCTGAAACCATAGAGATTGAAGCTCTGTAGTAGAGTTTTGATACCGATTGAATATAAAATAATATATTACTCAGCCGAAATTCATGGGTGGTAGAAAAGTCCTTGTCCAAAATTTATGGTGAAACTCATTCACATTGTACATCTTAGTGGATTGAGAAAAATAAGAACATATATAACATTATAATCGAGTCAATAGCACTAAAAATGAATATACAATTCCAATAACACTTTTCATCTAGATTCATAATATAAAATCTCTCAAACACACACAAAGATCGCTATTTTTATTCATCTTTGCATTTTTATTTTTTTTGATTGAGTTATTTTTTCTTTTTAATAATATTATTTTTAATTTTTTTATTGTCATATATAAATGATTCTTTTACTTAATCAAAATAAAGTAATTAACTTGTATCACATTGACCATTTCTGATACTAAATGAATATCACTAGTTCCTGAGTCATTTCGTGAACCACATCATAAGTTGTAATTATTTTAGTGTATAGAGTGAAATTTAATATTATTTTTGTTTGATCGACGAATATTGAATTATTCCTCTAAAAATATTCATAAAAAATATTTCTCACTTCGTCTCAGCATTTTTTCGACATGAGTTAGGGACACAAAACTAAGAAATGAAAAAATTCTATGAATGATATTGATATTAAAAATTAAGAGAAATAATAAGTGTGAGTCACCGAAATATTATTGTACTAAATAATGTCTAAGACAAAAATAATACTCCCTCCGTCCCTGAATATTTGTCCACTTTTGACTTTTTTTGTCAAAATTAGTAAACTTTGATCTCAAATTAAATAAAAATGATATTAGATATTGATACAAAAATAATTTTATTAGATTTATCTTATCAAACATTTTCAAAGTATTATTTTTTCTAATTAATATACAATATATATTTTATTTAAATATAGGTCAAAGGTTGAAAATGATTGACTAGAAAAAGTCAAAACTGAACAAATACTCAGGGACGGAGGTAGTAGGATATATAACAAAAAATAGAAGGAAATGAAACTTAAAACATGAGGTATACCTTATTTTAATTAATAAACTATTCATTTAAACTCATTTCAATATTTTCAAACTTATAACTCTTTTGAGTTTCTTCTAACTTTTTTCAATTTCTTTCAACATCTAACTCTTTTTTTCAAACAAATGCTAATTTAGATACATTTTACTTTTCTATATTATATAAAAAATATGATTGCAAAATATTTTTCACGATTAATATGGTTCGTATTTTTAATTAGATGACTTCCATGAGAAGAGTTTAAAATATTAATTTTAGTTCAATATAATATTTAAAGAATGAAAATCTTTGGAGAGTATTAAATAAACATTACTCCCTCCGTCCGGGATTAATCTTCCCATTTGGACTTTTTCCCATTTTTATTAAAGGTTGACTTTGGAAGGGAAATGACTAATATACCCTTCATTTCTTACTTGTTTTACACTTTTACAGCCCAACACCCCCCTCCGCTGATTTCTACCGAGGCTAGCACCCACCATCCCCCATCATCGTCGCCGATGTTTTCTGCCGAGGCGAGCACCCACCATCCCCCATCATCGTCGGCTCTATCATCGCCGCCGCCCCTAACCTGACCATCTCCATCGACCCTGCCACAATTGACCCAGGCCCACCACTGTCGCCTTAACCGTCAACACCATCGTTCCTCATCACCATCGCCCATCAACCCTCACCAGTCACCACCATGCCCCTTCAACCCTCACCACCATCGTCTATAGCCGCTACCATCTCCACCTCTGGGAGACAGAAAAGGGAAGAGAAAAAAAGAAGGGGAGAAAGTTGAAAAGAAGATCTTGCACAGATCTACTGTAGATTTCGGAGGGAGGGAAAAGAATAATTGGAAAAAGAGAGGAAGAAGAAGAAAAGGAATAAGAAGAAGATTTGAGAAGAAGAAGAAGGAAGGAAGAATAACAGATTTGGAAACGGGGGGAAGAAGAATAGGGGGGAAAGAAAAAGAAAAAGTGAAGAGGAAAGAGAGG